TGCATTAGGCAAATGTGCTGCACAAGATGTTTTTAAAGTGTTGAAGAGCAAAGATGTCAGTTTGAGTACTAAGGTGCATCTGACTCAAGCCATAGTATTTTCAATAACCTCATTATATGCATCCAAAAGTTGGACAGCGAATAAGGAAGACTATAGAAGAATTGATGCATTTGAGTTACAATGTTGAAGGAGAATATTGAAAATACCGTGGACTGGCAAAAGAAAAATATATGTGTGTTCAAAGAAGTGCAGTCAGAGTGCCCCTTGGAAACCAGGATGACCAGACTTTGTCTCATACTTCAGGCGTATTATCAGATAAGACCACTCAGTGGAGAAGGATATCATGTTTGGTAAGGTGGGAAGGTCAGAGAAAAAGAGGAAGACTCTTAGCAAGATGGATTGGTGAAATGCTAGCATCAATGGACTCAAGCATAGCAACGATTGTGAGGTTGATCGATAGCCTTGCAGAGTTTGTTCTGTTGTGCATAGGATTGCTATGAATTGGTACCAACGTGATGGTGCCTAACCACAACAACAACAGACATTAGTGAGATGAAATAGACTTGTATTGCCCATTAGAATCAGACAAGCATATGATTTATTATGTTGGGAACAGGAATTGTTCACATTCCTCGTCAAAAAGAGCATTTTAAGAGCTATCTTAAAGTAGTATGCTGTCTGTGATAGGATCATATCTATAAACCCACAAGAAATACCAGTTAATACCACCATTATTCAAATTCATGCACCAGCCACTAAAGCTATTGATGATGAAATTGAAGCATTCTACCAATTCCTTTAGTCTGAAATTGATAAAACATGCAATCAAGATGCATTGATAATTATTAGTGATTGAATATAAAAGGATTGGTAGCTGGTTGATGTTCAACCATTTCAAGAGGTAGCAAGTGATGAAGAGCCAATGGTCCTGGAAAAAGAATTCCAAGGTACTTTGAAGGTATTGGCAAAGAACAAGTCACCTGGAATAGATATATTACAAATTGAAATATTTCAACAAACTGATGAGACAATGGAGGCACTGACTCATGTATGCCAAGAAATTTTGAAGATAACTACCTGACTGGAAGAGATTCATATTTGTGGCCATTCTAAAGAGCGGTCACCCAGCAGAATGTGGAAATCATCAGATAATATCATTTCTATTCCATGAGAGTAAAGTTTTACTAAAGATAATACAAAAATAACTGCAACCATGCACTGACAGAGAAATTCCAGTGGGTCAAGCAGGATTCAGAAAAGAATGTGAAATGAGGGACATCTTTGCTGATTTTAGATGGATTTTGGCTGAAAGAAGAGAATACCAGGAAGATAGTTACTTGTACATTCTTGACTACACAAAGGCTTTTGATTGTGTGGACCATGACAACATTGCAAAGTATGAATAGCCCAGAACATGCAATTGTGCTCATGAAGAACCTGTAAAAAGACCTATAGCCAGTTGTTCAAACAGAACAAGGGAACACCCAATAGTTTAAAATCAGGAAAGATATGCACTAGGGTTGTATTATTTCACCATACACATTCAATGTGTTTGCTAGGCACATAATCTGAGAAGCTGTATTTATGAAGAAAAGCATAGCATTCGGATTGGAGGAGGACTCATTAACAACCTGCAATATGCAATCTTACTTGCTGAAAATGAAGAGAACTTAAAATACTTATTGATGAAGATAAAAGGCCACAGCCGGCAGTACGGTTTACATCTCAATGTAATGAAAACAAAAATCTTCATCACTTTACCAATATATAACATCAAGAAAAGTGGATAAAATATTAAAGTTTTCATAGACTTCATTTTGCTTTTAGCCACCATCAACATTCATGGAAACAGCAGCCAAGGAATGAAACGACATACTGCACAGGGCAAGTCTGTTTCACAAGCCCTCTTTAAAGTGTTGATAGCAAAAATGTCAGTTTGAGGACTAAAATGTGCCTGACCAAAGCCATGGTATTTCAGTAACCTCCCATACATGCAAAATTTGCACGATGAATATGGAAGACCATAGAAGAATTGATGCATTTGAGTTATGGTGTTGAAGGAGAATACTGAAAGTACCATAGACTGTCAAAAGAATGAATGTATTGGAAGAAGGATAGCCAGAGTGTTACTTGAAAGCCAGGATGGCCAGACTTTGTCTCTCATACTTCAGATATATTATCAGGAAGTACCTGTCCCTTGAGAAGAATATTTATATTTGGTAAAGAGGAGTGTTGGAGTAAAACAGGAAGACCCCAATGAGATGGATTCGTACAGTGGCAGCAGCAGTGGGCTTAGGTGTAGCAATGATTATAAGGTTAGCCCAGGCCTGAGTGGTGTTTCATTCTGTAGTGCGTAAGTTCACTATAAGTTGGGGGTTGACTCAATGACACCTAACAACAGCAGCAATGTTGTTTGTGTTGTTGTTATGTGCCATCAAATTGGTTTCAACTCATAGTGATCCTGTACAGGACTTCCAAGAGCCTGGTGCGTTTGAATTACTGGCATTGTGGTTCATACCAGCTTTACAGTCCAGTGCTTTATCCCATAGTACTACACCAGTACTCCTTTAGATATATAAAAAATGGTAGGTGGTAGTAGTGGTTGTTATGTGCTCTACCTGAAACATTCATTCTGTTCTATTCATCTCACTTTTGAGTTCAATTAAAGTGCTACTTCAACACAAATATCATTTCTAACCCTCTAGTAGACCTCACTATGAGTCAGAATGGAGTCCTGGTGTGGCATTGTAAAATATGCACTGACTGGAATGCTAACTGAAAGGCGGGCTATTTAGACCCATCACCTGCTCCTTGGAAACCATACACAGGGTAGCTATGAACTGGAATTTATTTGAAGACATTTAACAACAACATGAATTAGAATAGACTCAAAGACAGTGTGTTTGGTTTTGAGGGTCTATGCTCAAATGCCAGCTTTTAATTTATTATTATTTTTCATTTCAACTGTCACACATAGAAATAAGTCACATATTCCCTTGATAATTCATTATATATTTCATCCATTTTTAGAATAGAGGTTTCATTGAGGTGGAACTTTCCTTTGACTATTTTATTGTTATAACCTAGAGTAACCTAGACTGTATCTCTATGCACAAAACAAGGGATTAAAAATATTCACAGAATTAATTAATAAAAAAGTATACAGGATTGGTGAAATTTTTATAAGTACTGGCTAAATTTTAATAAAATAATAATAACAACTACTTCAATATTTTAATGTACATTCTTTGCCTCCTAAGGTTTACAAACGACATATAATACTTTGAATTTTCTTTCCTTCCTTCTTTTCTCCCTCCCTCTATCACTTCCTCATTCCTTCCATTCCTTCTTACCTGGCACCTCATTAAAGAATAGAACATTTAAAAGTTTACAATACTATAGATAAATATTTGGCACTTCAAAAATATTTCTTTGTTATTTTTCATCACTAGGAGAAAAATTAAGTCAACACACATTTTTAATAACATCTTTTTTTGCTTAATTTATTCTACAAATATACTATTATCACCAATGATACCAGGGGTTAGGCCTACAGGATTAGTCTCATAAAACTAGTAAAAAGATGTGAAACTTTCCACACATGTGGCTATGTAAACACAAGGGGAATCCTGTGGTAGGTTCTTCAAGTTATATGTATATATAATCCTGAAGCATTGGCATTGTACTATCAGATTCTATTCAAAAGATAGAAGTGTCTAAAGAATCATTTGACTGAAAAATGATCTGATAAGAGAATATTATCTTTCTGACCAATTGTTCAAATGGACAATGAAGAAGCTGTTTCATTGTGACTTTTGGAAATTAATGTAGAACTGCAATTTAGATTCCGGTTTGAAGGTTATAAAATTGCCACTCACTGTCCCAATATTTCATTCACTGTGTAATTTGAGCATTTTTTAATTTATCTAATAAAGACACTTCCTTTCACTCTTACTCCATATACGCCACACTTTCTTCTCATAAACTTTCTAACGGCCTCTTTAAAGTCTTTATTCCTCAAGCTATAGATAACAGGATTAAGTAGTGGGGTGACAACTGTGTAAAAGACAGAAATAATCTTGTTGATTTCTGGTGACAAGTGGACATTGGGACGGACATACATGGAGATCATGGTCCCATAGTAGATAGTGACAACAGCCAGATGGGATCCACATGTGGAAAAGGTCTTCATCTGGCCAAAGGCTGAAGGGATTTTCAATATGGAAGACACAATGAATACATAAGACACAAGTGTAAGAAAAAAACAAATGCACAATACAGCAATTGACAGGATGAAAATCGCCAACTCAGTGATATAAATACTGGAACATGACAGCTGCATAAGTGGTGGGAGGTCACAGAAGAAATGATTGATATGGTTGGGTCCACAGAAGTCCAACTTTGAAATCATCAAGGAAGGCAAAAAGCCTGTGCCAACCCCTGTCAACCAGGAGATTCCTACCAATTTTGTGCAGATCTCAGAACTCATCAGGTAGGAGTAGTGGAGTGGGCTACAAATGGCCAAGTATCGATCATAGGCCATCATGGCTAGAAGAAAACACTCAGTAGCCCCAAAGAACACAAAGAAATAAAGCTGAGCCATACAAGCAGTGAAGGAAATAACTTGGCCCCAGGAGAGTAAATTGGCTAAGAGAAGTGGCACAATGGTGGACGTATACCAGATCTCTAGAAAAGAGAGGTGCTTGAGGAAAGTGTACATAGGCAGTTGTAATTTCTGGTCTTGACTCACCACTGTGATGATGACAACATTCCCCATGACCGTAAGACAGCAAATGATCAGAAAAATAGCAAAAAGCAGTGTCTGGAATTTCTGAAGATTCTGGAATCCTAACAGATGAAATTCAGTGACAGTGGATGTATTCTGGGGCTCCATTGCCTATAAGAGAAAAACATTTTGGGAAAAGTAGAGTATAAAGAGCACTTTTTTGTTGTTTTTGTTATTGTTAAGTGTCATCAGGTCTGTTCTGATCTATAACAGTCCTATGTAGGGTTTCTGAGGAACGGCAACTGAATTTTAACTGCTGACCTTGCAGTTCAAATCAACCTTGTGGTCAAGTGCTTATCCTACAGCACCACACCAGGACTTCTGATATCCTTTCTTAGCATGATAAATATCATAACTCACCACTGTAATTAATTTATTATAAAAACACAAATATCCATTGGATTGGTTTCTGAGTCAAACTCAACTGTAGAGATATTTGGTAGCAGCATAACCAATGAATGTACTTTTATTTTTTCTTTAAGTTTTGCCACTGGAGTGGTAAATACCTTAAGTCTGTCTATCTAATCCAAAAGTAACTGTTTTAAATTTGAAATAAAAATTATATATGCTAACATGCATTGCTTCTCAAGTTTATTTCACATATATTTTTCATTCCCAGTGTTATATATAACTTTGTGTGATAAATGAAATCTATAAATCTATACTGTTCTTACCCCAATTAGAAAGTTTCCCTCTTTTGTTTTCTGTGATAAATTAATGTCCCTTGGAGTGACTCCTGGTCACTTTTTTGGTCTCTTGGCAAACACTCAAATGGAAGGATTTTTCTCTTCTGGGACTAAACCCAAACATTTGAAGCAGGATCCCAGAGATGAGACATGATGTAAAAGGATCTCTGTGGGACTAATCCCAGGATGGTTACTTCTCACTTGTAAATATATTCAGCATCTGAAAATATATTCAACATGGTACTCACCTCCAAAACAAAGAACTATCTTCAGCCTAGATAGTTCCTATAGTTTCCATAGCTTCTACCTGCCCTTTGTCAGAAAATATGTATTAAACTGCCCAAATGATATTTTTAATAATAAGATATAGCATTCAAAGCCCACAGCAGTTCCAGCTTGCATAAAGGTGGCCAAATTTCTGAAGACTGATGTGGTCCTAACTAGATCTCTCCTCAAAATGCTTTTTTTAACAACTTTTTTTTTTTGCTTTCCTCCTTGCACATTCTTCTCTAAGCACTCTGTGTTCCTTGACATTCTTTCAAACAATCCAGGATTTAATCTCCTTCATATTTAACACCTTCAGTTCCCTGGGATTTTCTCTGAAAACATTTTTATGTGCTCATTTCTTATTGCTTCCAGTCTTTGCCCAAATACCATTGCCAACTTATGTTGTCAGTTCAAAGTAAAACTAGTTGCATACATCTTGGTTTGATACAGGTTATTCCAAAATGCTGGATTAAAATCTTGAAGAAATCATTTGTTATTAAATCCACACAGATTGATTTATTCAATAAAGGGGAGAGATGATTGAGGATTGTATGAGTCACAGCCATGCTTGCAGTTTTCTCAGTAACATAACAATATCAATGATTCCATTGTGTTTGGCATTCTACTGCTTTTTTATAAGAATATAAGCATTGAATGTTATATCGAATGCTTCTGTTGTTGTTAAGTTTTGACAAATCAGTTCTGACTCTTAGTGATACTGTATAGGGTTTTTGAGGAGTGGCTGGTGAGCTTGAACTACTGACCTATGGTTCAAATCAACCTTGCAGTCTAGCACATTAACCCACAGTACCACACTAGGACTCCTATTGAATAGAATAATATAACTCAATTTACTAAGAACAATGAAATTTTCAAAATGAAATTTAAAAACAAGGGAAAATGAAGGCTTGATATGGGAGACAACAAGAAAACAGTGTTGAATCACTATGGAATAAAAGTTCACAGGACATTTGGCCCAATTTGCTAGTCATCCAAAGCCTTTCACACAATATACATTCAAATTCACATGAAACTGAAGTTTGTTCATATACTTCCAGCAGTGAGAAACTAACTCTTGAAATATTGATTGCATTAAGCTATAAAATGTCTGCTTCCCAAAACTGAGTTGGCTTTATTCACCAGTAAAAGCACAAGCAGTCTAACCACAGATTTAATATTTAGTGTTTTTTTAACTATATGAAAATAAGTATCATTAATAATGTTATTGCTATTTTGGAGCTCTGGTGTTGCACTGTACTATAAGCACTGGATCCCGAGGTTGGTTCAAATCCAGCTGCTCCTCAGAAATATTTTACAGGGTCACTGGGAATCAGAATAAACTTCCCAGTACTTAACAATAATTGCTGTTTTAAGTAATATTGCCTGGAGGAAACCAAATGATCTTTTGATTTCTCTAGATCTCTTCCTTGGTTACATTCCAATAACTGTTGGTGTTGTTTGACTCATAGAAACTGTATGTACAACAGAAGGAAACACTGCCTGGTCATGTGCCATACTCACAACTGTTGTTATGTCTGAATGTTTAAATTTTCTGGCACTATACATGACAATGTTCTGCTGCTGTCAATAAGGTTTTCAGACCTATATAGGGTCGCTAAGGGTCGGAACCGACTCGATGGCACTTCACAACAACAACATCATTGCTGATATTCAGAAATAGTTGGCCTTTCCTTCCTAGTCTGTCTTAGTTTATAAGGTCTGCTGAAATGTCCTTCCTAATCTGTCTTAGTTTATAAGGTCTGCTGAAATCTGTCCACCATTGGTGACTATACTGGTATTTAAAATATCAGTGGCATAGTTTCCAGCATAACATGAAAATGAAAGTCACCTTATTTGGATAGGATACATGCATGTCTAATCAGCAACAGAAATATTACCCAGAAGCCACCTTTCTTCAAAGTCAGTCCATCTCAATGAGGACTAGTCTTTCCTTTCATTTGCTCTAGCCACAAACCTTGAATTTAGTTTCTATTTCTTTCAAATCTCACATGTGAAGGGACAAATGCTGAATGCTCCAAAACGGACTCACCAATGTTAAACCAGGTACAACAGACAGAAGAGTGGTGGGTGGTTCCAGTGAGTAAAGTTTTACAATCTAGTCAATTAACAAAGCTATTTACTCTATTTCTATCTAGATGGATCATCTGAAAAGGCTAGAAAAGTCTCAATTATGAGAGCTAATTTTTGAGGCCTGTGTATTTTTAGAATCCTATCACCATCACCATCAAAATTAAAATAGCAAAATTTAATGACCTTTGACTCTATAACACTGATGTTTACTTCCTGCTCAAAAAGGACAAGCTTGTCTATGTGAACTACACCTACCTGTTTTCTAGGTCTCAAGCTGTTTATGGGAGGCAGCACTCTGAAACACTGGAGAATGCGGTCTTCCCACAAACTTGGGCACCGTAAAGACTGCTCACATTTGACCAAGGCTCTGCAGAGCCTACCATAGAGACCCCGAAATCTTGCCTGCTCCAAAATCTGCATTGCCAGCCTCTGAAACAAATGCAAACCTTGTTTCTTTTGAATAACCAGAAATTCGACATCTTATGCTGGTGTTTGATGTTGGGTAAAGTTGGCTTCTCTTTTCAATAACCTTGTGTTTCTAGGGGATTTGACTCTACCGAGAATCCTGTCTGTTCCCCAGATATTCTTTAACAATTTACCTATCAAGTTAGTAAACAATGAAACCAATCTCCTGAGAGTCAGCCTTGCCTGTAGAGGCTTGCATTGTTGAAAACACTTGGAGGATGGACATAATTCTTAAATTCGTTTTGAAGTAGATTATTTTCTAATTAGGATAGGTCCCAATGATGTTAAATTAGACATTTAATTAAACAAAAAGCCATTTCTATGATATTCAGCAGGTTTACAATTAATGAGTAAACTAATCTGGTGATTAAATACATTGCTTCTGTATTCTGTTGAATAGCAGATGATTAAGAGGCATTTTGCCACCATATTATAAATATAATTGTGTCTAAATACAATTTAGGTAAATAATATTTAGACATAATTGCATTTGCTTTAATGGACTACAGATAAATAATAAAACTATCTGTAGTCCATTAAAACAATCTATCCCCATTAATTCTAAGAGTAAATCTATGAATTTGACAAAGAAAATATAGTATCTAATTAGTCTGACAGACTTAGTTTGAGTTTTAGAATAAATGCTTACAAAACATCTGAAACAACAGCAGCATTGAAAAAAATATATATGTATGCAAAATGATCTCTAATTAAGAAGAGCTATCATTGCTGATGGAGTTCTGGTGTGGTGCTATGGGTTTATGTACCAGACTACAAAGCTGTTTGAACTGCAAGGTCGGTGGTTCAAGCTTAACAGCTCCTCCTCAGAAACCCTAAATAAGGTTGCTATGGTTCTGAACTAACTCGACGGCACTTCACAACAACAACATCACTGCTGATATCAGATGGAACTTGGATGAAAGCACAGAATACAAGAAAGATATTTACCTGTGTTTTATTGACTATGCAAACACTTTCAATTGTGTTGAGCATGACAAGCTATTGACAACAGTGCAGAGAATGAGTATTCCAGAACACTTAATTGTGCTTGTGAGGAACCTATACATAGACCAAGATGTAGTTGTTCACTCAGAACAAAGAGACATTAAATGGCTTTAAATTAAGAAAGCTGTGTCAGTATTGTACTTCACCATACTTATTCAATCTGTATGCAGAGCAAATTAATCTAAGAAGCTATATTATATGAAGAAGAATATGGCATCGTAACCTGCAATATGCAGTTGATACAATCTTGCTTGTTGAAAGCAAAGAACACTTAAAATACTTATGAAGATCAAAGTCACAGCCTTCAGTTTGGGTTGCTCCTCAAGGTAAAGAAAACAAAAATCCTCACCACTGGACCAATAAGCAATATCCATATAAAGATTGCAATATCCATGTAAAGAAAAGATTGAAGAGACGAAGGATTTCATTTTGCTCAGATCAACCATCAACACTCATGGAAACAGCAGTCAATAAATCAAATGCTGTATTGCATTTGGTAAATCTGCTACATGAGACCTCTTTAAACTGTTGAAAAGCAAAGATATCAGTTTGAGGATTAAGGTAGACCTGACCCAAGACATGATACTGTCAATA